TGATGGAAGGAGGTTGTCACTCAAAATCTCACGATACATGGCCCCATTCATTCTTTCCTTTACACCAGGGGTGTCAAACTCAAGGCCCGGGGGCCAAATCCGGCCTGCGACTTCATTTGATGTGGCCCCGCAAGAGCTTGCAAAGAATATAATACGTTTATCATACGGTTACATGCCACTTTACAGAAGCAGGTTGCCCATAAACTACATGTCCCACAATGCATCTCGTTTTGTGACATGCGCACTGAAGAGACTTCCAATTATTTGCCCTGGACTTCTGCTTTCAGACGTAGTTAATTACTAAGTTATTACCCTATCGGATAATAATCTAATTCAGAGGAAATAATGTAATATAATACATACTTTTATATATTTATATATGTATATTTATATAGTTACCACCGGCCCTTTGAGTGCAACCATAATGCTGTTGTGGCCCGCGATGAAATTGAGTTTGACACCCCTGATATAAACAAAACAACAAATAGCGTGTTCCATGTTCACTCTACAACGAGAAGCTCACGGGGCTTTCCTGAACCTGTGTCGAGAGCTGGAGTTAAATGAAACCTCAGATTTGCCTTCTTAATAGTTTGTTTGGGTCCCTCACTTCCGTTTCGCTTCTCATGCACTGATTCGCTAAGCTGAACAGCCAATCAGAGTGATTTATTTAGCCGACGGCCTACCAATTCAACACGGCCGAAAAGACACGACGGTGCGGGACACACCAACATCTATCGACGGCCGAAATCGTCTTGGTGTGTAAGGGACTTAATATGGAGCTGGATAACCGCTGTAACTGCCTGAGGGACAGGGTCTCCAGGTTGAGCTGTGGCTCACCAATCAGTCTGCTGGACCCCTTTACGATCTGACTCAAAGAGTTTCGGCTCTTTAAAGTCAGGTTACCAAACCATGACATGAGTGAAAAAGACAGAATTGACTCGATAAAAGCCATCATGGTTTTGCAACATTCAAAATAGGACAGTTTCCTAAGACAGTACAAACGCTGGTAAAAAAAATACGCACACAAGTTACCCAAACGCCTGCCCAGACAGGAATGTCTTTAAATGACGCTAATGAATCCATTTAGTCCCTCACTACACTAAGTCAGTTGTAATCGGTATTCCCTGGAGCTCGTTTGATTTCTTCCTCAAACTGTGAAGCCTTTGAGACTCACAGTTTTTCCATTACATTGATCATTTTCTCACCGTCCAAACTACGAAAAGCTCCAGGAGCTGTTTTCCAGAGTAGGGATTAATTACAACCTTCAAACTTGAAATGGTTCATCTTATTGTTGACAAAAGCCTGTTGGATGTAGTAGCATTTAATCTGAACAGCATTGCGTCCTCTGCTCTGAGAAGCTGCAGATCACATCCAATCAGGGCAACAGCATGTGGTCTGTTGGCTCGCATGAAATCATCAGAACCAGAGAGGGTAGGGAGTATCGCTGCTTTCCACTCATACGGCTTTTATTAGAGTAACCGGTGGACGAACTGATGGATGGAGAGAATAAAAAAAAGAGTTAGAAATGAAACGCAGACAAGCCAAAGATGGAGAGAAATGTGTGTTTGGCTGCAGACCTGATTCCGCCTATAAGGGTGTACATGTACTGGATTTATAGTTATTGTGAATATGTATTGATTTTACAGCTTTTTCCCTTCCTTTCTTCTCTGTCTTCCATTGAAGTTTGAGTCCTGCTTTCAGCCCGTCACATCTGTTTAGTGTCCTCTCTCCTTCTCTCTGTCTTTTCTTTCATGTCTCTTCGACCAACCTCTACTCCGAAACCCCTTTTTTTTTTGACAGTTCCAAAGCCTCACCACACAACAAGCAGACACCAAAACCACCGAGAAGAGAGCGTATTCAAATGTAAAATATCGAGGCATTTGTCTCTGATTAAAGACGGACCCACATGTCTGCTGAGTTAACATGCACACACACGAAGAAGAATAGGCCATATCACACACACACACACACACACACACACACACACACACACACACACACCTCGCTGCTCCTCTTTGACGCCGTGTTTCCTCCTCGCTGGTTCCACTCCCCGGCCATCCCTCCTTCTTCATCCACTTCTGTCCCTTTACAGCTCTTTTGTAGCCTCGGCCCCACTCCTCTTCTCTCTCCCACACAGCAGCACTACAGTGTGTTATTCCCTTCTCTCTTGCTCACACACACTCTGCCCTGCTGAGGTTTAGGTCATCGCGTTCGAGGCTCTGAGATCACGTCACTCAACTCCCACAGAGCCCTTCTGACTGTGCAATCCAGAATCACCTGTTTGCCACTTAAAAACACGTTTTATATATTGGAAATGTGTCGATCAAAACCAAACAAAAAATCCTTAGTCTTAATGAGACTCAATCCATCCCTCTTTTTTATAAAATGTCGGAAAAGAAGAGACCTACAGTACACGCCAAAACGCTCAACTTTGTATTGGTTTTAGTCAGTTTACCTACAGATGAAACAGAAGCAATTGATCGATGATTCATATGAATATTCAACATGGGTCTAATATTATTGTGAATTCTTTTTTTATATTGATATATAGTTGTGTGGTAGATACATGTGTACAGTATGTTACATTTGGTGTTCAAACTGAATGAAATAGCTATAATACATCACATAAAACAACTTTTTATACATGTAAATGTAATTTTCTATTGTTTTGAACATACTTAGGATTGTTAATTCCAATATCTTTTAAAAACCCGATATGAGGATATCATCATGATTTAAAGCCTCTGAAAGGATGTCTGTAACTTACTTGTAGATTGCTCACATTATTCTGTGCAAATAAAAAATATATATACATAGAAAACAACCAGTGATTTACAATAAGCTCTGCACTTCCTGTAATTTCATATTTCCTTCATCAAGGTCATTGAACATCCTTTGATTTGAAGAAGTAAAGCGTTCCAGGTGCTTTCCGTCCGTCCTGCTCCTCAGCTCTGTGTTTCATGGCCCTCTGCTGGAGTGTTTAAACATGGGAGTCACTCGCTTCCTCCCAAGGGTGCTACTCAATATGGGAGTGTGTGTGTTTCTCGTCACGTTGAATTGTCCCTTCCTGCTGTGCTGCCTGACCTTGGCTAATTCACATCTTCATCTTTAGCTGAGGCAGAAAACAAAACATACTAACCGCAGGTGCAGCTCCTGTGAAACAATGGGCTGTTCTGTGTTTTTTATTTTTACAATGATTTTGATTTATTCTCATCCTGGAAGGTGTTGTTGCCGCATTGAACATCTCCTCTCTCACAGAAAAAGCATATGTAATAATGTGGATATTCTCTAAGGTGTCGGACTGTAACTATGTGAACCAGTTTCCACACTTTGGTCTAAAAACGATAAATCATTTTGTCCTGCGCCCTAACAACCGTGCTTTACTGACCTACTCTGTGTCTCCCTCTAATCCTTCCTCCAGGGCTGGCTCTGTGAGCTGCTGCGCTGGAAGGAGGATCCGTCTCCGGAGAACAGGACGCTCTGGGAGAACCTCTCCATGATCCGCCGCTTCCTGAGCCTCTGCATGGCCGAGCGGGACGCCATCTACGAGCAGGAGAGCAGCGCGGGGCAGCAGCAGCACCACAACGAGCGCCCCATGCACCTGACGCAGTTCTCTGACCAGCTACAGGTGAGCGGGGCCGCAAGTTTATAAAATACTAACTTTACATGTAGGAAACATACTCACACACAGAAGCAAATATAAGGGTTTAACATTTTAAGAATCAATTAATCACTGAAATCTGTCTTTTCAAATATGCTAAAAGATTTGCTGTTTTTTTTATTCTTGTGTGGCGCTTATTTTCTGACATTTCATACGCTAAATGATTAATCGATCAGTAAAAAAAAAATGGTTACGGTCTTACTGTATATGTACGTATTTTTAAGTTTTCTGAAATAAGTGGAAAACCTAATTTCCCCCAAGTTCATTTCATCTTAACTAATCTTTCAGGAATCTGTGATAAATAACACTTGTTAATTAGAAGCACAGGAACAATTAAAAGTTCCTACTTTTCACAAAAAGCCATTTTCAAAGATATCATTAGCCTTATTTAATAGAGCTGCTTTATAAAAGACATCTGGCAGATGAATAGAAAACAACACACAGCCTCGGTTAACGGTCGAAATATCTTAATGGAGTACAATAATACTTCTATAAAAAATCTGAGTGTTTCATTAGTTACTTGGTTACTTGGAGACGTGGCCAGTGTTTCACAAAGGCCGCCATTTACTGGATATAAATAAAGTAATATGATTTATTTTTACAAATCAGCGACAGCAGCAGATTTGGAATGAGTGAATTGTGTGCATACTTTGCATGCGAACATAAATGGTTGTAGATTGATGAAATAGGATTATTTCTGATTTAATAGTGCCGTTTTACACCACCCATAAGAGACTAGTGTTTAAATATTTTGTGCCGGTCCTTCTCTAACGCGGTACATTAGCCAAATTAGCTCCCATTTGCTCAACAAGAGCTATCATAGCCTGGTGTATTGGTACAGTAAAATCTCATCTCTGGGTGCATTTATGCAGCTGGCGAACAGAGTCCCTGCAAAGTGCTGTTTTGCAAACTTCATTATGAAACACCTATTCTACAGTGTCTGACTCAGAAATGAAAATAAAAGAGCACCCATTCTGCGAGGGTCAATAGGGACCACGAGTTACCCACTCACTCCCTCTCCAGCCACACAATGAGACATTTTACGAGTAATGTGTCATGTGTTTACACTAAAGGGATTCTGACAGCGGAGTGAAAGCCATCGATAGCATTCTCACACTGCGGCAAATCAGCCAGGCCATCGCGGCGAGAATTGTGCACAGGGAGCTTGTTTATCACCGCCTGGCAATAGAGCCTGATAAGCAGCAGAGGCTATTATAGAGAGGCCAGTTTCCCACTGTGTGTCGGGCTGAGTGTGTCTCTTCACTTTGTGTGTGTGTGTGCGTGTGTGCTCTACCCCCACAATGAGAGACACAATCTCCCACATCCAAAGAAAAAGGGGGGGAAAAATCATATCTGCAGAACTGATTACATTCAATGAGATATTACATGGAGAATTCCTACAACCAAGTGACTGTTCTCGACACAGTGGGCCCATTTTCCCTCACAACTCAATTGATTTGAATGAAAGGCCTTATTAAGGCGCCGATAAGTGTTCACTGATAACATCCGTGTTTCCTTTCTCTTCCCCTTCTCTTCCCACTGCAGGCTCAGCTCCCTCAGTCCCAGCAGCAGCACCAGTACCAGCACCAGCCCTCCCTTCAGCACCCCTGCCAACCCCTTTTGTCCCAGCAGCCCTTGCAGCTCATGCAGCCCTGCACCGGCCCCCGGTTGCCGCCGCGCCAGCCCTCCACCGCCTCTCCGGCCGAGACGGAGGACGAGGTCAGCCGCGGGGGGATCATGAAGTCCCGTACGTGTGGGGGGAAGATCTCCCTAGAGGCGCTGGGCATCCTGCAGAGCTTCATCCAGGACGTGGGCCTGTACCCCGACGAGGAGGCCATCCACACCCTGTCGGCCCAGCTGGACCTGCCCAAGCTCACCATCATCAAGTTCTTCCAGAGCCAGCGTTTCTATATCAACCACCCGGCCAAGGCGCCCAAGGAGCCCGGCAACAACATCAACAGCACCGCGGCAACCACCAACACCACCAGCAGCAGCAGCAGCAGCAGCCCCGCCTTCGAGGAGGAGCTGACGGACTTCAGGGAGAGCGGAGAGCTGCTGAAGGAGATGGAGGACAGCACGCAGACCAACAGCACCATCTTCTCCATCAAGATCGAGGAGCAGCTGGCCCGAGGCGCGGAGGCCCAGGCGGAGTCAGAGCACGAGGCCGCGGAGTAGAACACACACCGAGTGGTCCCGCTCACACACACTGATGACTGTGCTAAATGTGACGCTCCGACACAGATCCACCACACTGCAAACACAGAGAAGTAGTGTTTTTAATCAGTTCAGCGCCCGGACTCTACGACGAGTGTTTAGATATATCCGCTGCAGACTGACGTGAAGTGAGCGCTCACACACTGGAAAGCCCATTTCAGACTCAAGTACTACTTTTTGGATTTTGTAAAACTTGTATTATTATCACTGTAAAGACTGATGCATCATTTAAATAATCTGCACAAAAAAAAAATATTCTAAGTATGTTGCCGTGGATATTTGCTGACTGCACTCTATGTCTGTTGTTTTACACTGACTTACTTTATCTTTTTGAGCTACTGATTATATTTAAAAAGAAAAAAAAAGTCCCCCTGGAGTTTGCTAGGACTTTGATAGGTGTTTACGTATGTGATGTTTAACTGGATCTTAAAAAAATAAATAAAAAAAGCAAAATAAATTCAAGGACCAAGAGGTTGACAAGGCCTTAATTATGAAGCGTCGAGTCTGGAGCCTGCTGGCGGATTAGTTATTCTTTTAAAAAGTGCAAAATGTGATTATGAATCACTCCAAACTCTGGAACGCCATCACCCAGCCCAGGTGAACCTGCGACAATTGCTCAGTCTTTACATATTATTTCTTAGGGAGGAAATATAAATATATATATATAGACATTATATTGTAACTGTAAAAAAAGATACAGTCTTAAAGAAACTATGCCAACAAATGCCTTGTACTATACGGCACTGCCGATGTTAGATTATTTTGCAAAACCTTTGTCACTGTAACTCTCTGAATTTCCACACAGTTAGAAATGTGAATTCCACCATGTTTATGTTGTCTGACATTATTTATTTGCAGTTCATGCAGTGTTTCTGATGTAATTACTTTTTTTTTTTTAAGTTTATGTTAGCTTTTTTTAAACCCCACCAATCTTTTTTCTATTTATAAATGTGATTTCGATGGGCAGTAAAAACAAAAAGTGTCTTAAACGTTTTAAATGGAGAAATGTGCTTTAAAGGTTGCCTATAAAACGTGCTGTATGTCGAGCAACTCATGCTACAAGCTTCACAATTAATGTTGTATGCAATTTTTACTATCATGCAAATAAGCTTAGGTAAAATGACTAACCTATAGAACACCTTAGAGAGAAAAACATATGCAATCTGTGTGAAAATCGATGTCTGCGATGTGTCTTCCTTTGGTTAACAATCCAACTCAAAAAGCTATTCCTGTATAAATATTCTGTATAAAAGTGTTTCTTTTTTATGAGTTTATTTCAATAAGAACACCAGTTATTTTGTTACGACTGACTGTTTTATAAGTGTTTCTCGGTTCCTTTCTGCAGAAATGTTCCAACTAGAAGTGGTTATTGATTGTTAAATACACAATTAAACTGTTTGTATTGTACCACAGATTTCTTGCCATTAACTTGACTTTTGACACCAGAGTGGGATTTCCCTCTCTGCAAACAAAACAAGAAACAATGTGAATTGTTTTTCAAATCTACTGCTAAGAGAAATCAACTCCAGTTACTGTCTCCTTCAGCCGCAGTCACTGAACTCGTTATTTGTAATAACTGTAAATATCACATCTTATGGAATCATTGATTGTTTATTATTGTAAATATATTTGAAGTTTGTGCAAGAGCTCACCGTACAAAATTGAAATCAACATTTTGTCGTGCCTCTTCCTCTCAAACCGACTGTACCTGGGCTCTTCTACTGCTGAGTGTATCTGAAGCACCTGTGATATAAATAAATGTTAGGTGTGAACACCTGTAATAGCAAAGCCCTCTGCAGGGAGTTAAGATAGAGAACGGCACAGGTGTCCTGACCTCGCCGTGAACCCCAGGTGAGGCAGGTGTCTGCACCTTTAGGATATTACCCTCACCTGTTAACACCCTGCGATATGTGCCAGCCAGTCTGTGCTGGCGTTCCCTTGATGTTCTGCTCATCTTTTTTCATGAATAAAAAGCCAGAGTGTAACATTGTGTGTGTTCAGAGGAAAAGAAAATCACATGAAACAAATCATACATGTACAGGAAGTGTCAGACGCTCTCAAGAGGGGCGTTTGAGAAGAAGATTCATTAACACGTGTGAGGAGATACAGAAAAGACACACTTGAGAAAGTAGAGGCACCATTAAGCTTCATTATTTCCTGATTTCGACACTACAAGTGACTTACTCTCTGACGAACAGAGGTGAAGGCACCAGCAAACAACAGGAACTCAGCGTAATACTTCTCCTCATTATCACTGTTTTCACAAGGATCAGTGTTATTTGCTTCAGACTTAGAGAAGGGTTTTCTACACAGATGGCTAATACTTCCCTATAAAAGCGGAACTTGATTTTGGAGGTGGTCGCAATAGGGACGGGGGGGATTTTCTTTATCTTTTATTCAATAATTAAGGGAAATACCCTAAAAGGAGGTTGGAAACAATAAAACAAAGAACACTGTCCACACACACCAGCTGACAAGAGGTTTACTTGTGTGGATGACGAGATGAAATAAATCTCAGCTGCTGTTTTCCTCACCAGAAAGCTCCAGTTTTGAGCAAAGCGCTGGAGGTTCGCCATGGGTGGGTATCATGGGTGATTGCTCAGACGATACTGGCAACAGTTTCTAACTCCGTCTCCATTAGCCTGTTCGCGGGCTCTCTGCAGAATCAAACACACTTCAAAGACTTTCCCCAGATGTCAAAATAGAAATCATAATTACGACAAGAATGGTGACTGATGAATCACTGACTGTTACCCCGGGCTGCTCATGCTGATGCTTATTTAAAAAATTAGCAGGCTACACAAGATAAGTTTCCCAGAAAGTATTCATAGATGAGGCCACATCACGCTGCGGTACTCCACCATTGGGAGAAAAACAGAAAAGTATCTTCTTGTGATATTTGTAGAATTTCACAACAAATACACACTTTCCACATAAAAGTTGTCGCTCGTGGTCTGCTGAGGGTTGAGTTACTGAGGCCATGCAAAGCTTCATTTAAACACGGTGAAATGTATAGACGCTGCTATGTTTGTTACAAATATTTATCTTTCAGAGCAGTCCTCCAACTATAAGCAAAAGTAGTCAGAGGATGTCCATCTAATATAATCCAATAATACCTTAAAGTCTTTAAAGTGAAATAACTATTTATATCAGTTTAATTTAGAAGAGGTATAAAATTGTTAAAAGTGATCAAATAATTTATCTCATTTTAGTATTTGAAAACAAATTATGGTTGGAAAGTTTCAGTGTCGCCTCATATTAACGTGTTGGGGTCTATATTCAGCAATACTACAAAATGAAAACTTGATTATTATAATATTATTAATAGGTAAATATAAAATGTCATTTAATTAAATACAAATATTCCTCAATAGCAAAATGTCAGTCAAAAAAAGTACTCTTAATGCAAAAATATAATTATACAATAGTATATTATATGATTACTACAACATTAATTTTGTTAGTAAAATGTTATACTGTAATGTCATTAATAACTAAAGCTTTCCAATACATGTAGTAAAGAAAAAAAGTTGGACATTGCAATAAATAGATATATTCAAGTACAGTACACTAAAATGTATATAAAATACAAAACTTGGGTGTTTGTACTGAGTGAAATTCCATCACTGGTATAAACAGACCCAATGCTAAAAAGACACTTTAAACAAAACATCACTGATGAAATATTTAAGTAACATTTTCATCACTTATTATGTTATGTGTAAGTTATTGCGATAATGTGCATTTTGTATAGCTAGGATGCACATCTGCAGGATGGACACATTTAAAGAACGTATACTATTTGCTCCACTGAACACAAACCCCCAAAGTACGTATGAAGATGTCAATCAACGGAGCGCATTAACACTTCACAGACGACTTGAGGGAATTCTGCAGAAACAGGAGTCGGGGCTCCAAGAATGCAGATTTCAAGCGAGCATCGTATTTTGTATTTTTTCCAGCCTGCGTTGTACATCACTTACCAACTCAAAAGAATATGGTTTGAAACTCGTAGCTTTGCCAGACTGTCAAGTGTCTCACTGTTGGGTAAACGACTGAAAACTTGGCTCTGTCTCTCGCAGTATTTTAATCTGTCACATGTGGTACTATAGCTAGCGTTAGCATTCATCTGCTAATGTACAATATTCAACACATTTTTATAGAATGGACAAGAAACTGTCTATCTAATTATTTCTGTTGTAAGATGGGAGTCAACAGAACATCTCCATAAAGTAGGAGAAGCCACATTAACATAACTTGACATAAAACATGACGTAAACATGTGTGAGAGTGCAAACTGCGTGAAACCTTGTAGCGGGTCAAACATTTTGTCCTTGTGTGGAACATTTGTCCCAGTGTGTGATGAAAAGCATAAACTTTTAAAGAATGACAGATGAATCTTTACAGTTTTAGTTGTGCGTGATGATATGTGATCAATTATAGGATCCACAGCTGTTCATTTTCCCTTTTTGTTTTTTTTCGGGCTGTGTAAGTAGGGTTCATTATTTTTGGCTTATCATAAGAAAGAACAATACAAAAATATGAGTGAAAAACACGTTTAAGAAGCACAATTTGCAGATGGGATGTACTCCTTACTTTCCTTTTGTCTAAAGATGCCTTTTTCTGAGGTTTCAATGTAGAAAGGAATATTCTTTTTTGTGGTGATCAGTGCCCTCATGAAAGAGAAATCACAAGAAGAGTAAAAATCAATGAAAACCGTCCTGGTAATATCAGATGATAGTATTTTTAAGTAATAATTGGTTTAACAACACCTGACTAACTAACCCGACTGATTAACCTACCGTATACTGGTTCAATTACACTAGAAATCCACTAAATTGTGCCTTGTGCTTTGCTGCCTTGGTAGGCCACATTCAACAAGGACAAAGGGCGACTTGGTACTGATTTTGGTGGTGTTGTAGAAAGCAGGTGGCAAATGTACACATTTACCATCAAGCAAGCAACTCGCTCTTAAACTAGCCTCAAGCTAGCTAGCATAAATTAAGCTAGCAAGTGACTTCTACGTTAGAAAACACAGCAATAAGTGCAGGATATTTTCATTACATTTCATATAATAATTCCAAATAAACATGGATTATTGACTGATTTTCTAGCATTCAAAAAACGTCACAACGGGCATTCATTGATAATAGAACCTTTAACATACACATATTCCTGTGGTGGACATATTTGTTATTTTTCGATTAACACAAACATTGATACACCATTGAGTGCACACGCTGCATTAAAGGCCCGAAAGAGATTTATTAGGCAGCACCTTGGTGATGTTTCTGCTACGTTTAGCTCCAGATTAATAGGGATGTTACACTCAGGTTGCTGCAGCACAACATCGGCAGGTCTGGCTCCTGCAGGAGAGTCCTAAGTGCCTTCCCGTGAGCCCTTGGGACTCCGCAGTAAATCAAACAGGAAATGCAGCAGAAAGCCTAATAAAGTTATTCTAATGATAGCAATCTCCGCGGAATCACCTCGATGTAAATCGGAAACTCCTCTCTCTCTTCTGCAGAGATGCTAAGTAAGCGCCAAACATTTAGAAGAAAAAAAAAACATCTCAACCTCCAAATGTGGAGAAGCGGAAACAGAAGGTTAGAGGTGTGGAAATTAATAACATTAATCACTGAGTTGCTACCATGCTTCTGGTTTTTGAGAAGACAACATTAAACAAACTCCGGTGGGATTGAAACCTTCTTTCTGATCACATTAATGTTGTTACATCATGCTCACATGAATATGAAAAGGTGGCACATGCTGATACTGATTATAAACACGTTCTTATGTCAGCTGAGCCCTGAAACAGGCCTCATCTAAGCAGAGGTTTGCAGATATATCAGGGCTGCATAGGCAGGGCCTTTAGGTGGTTTTACATTCCAGGTCTTGTATTTAACTTTGCGGCCGACACCCATGCCTGACCTTTTTATTCCGTCTCAGACATAACAGCTTTTGTTAGAAGTTTGTGGGCAGACACAACAACGCAGCCATGGCTCCGCAGCAATCAGACCTTCCACCTCTTCACAAATCAAGCACATCAAGCATGATGTTGTGAAATGGACTAAGCATCCAAAGAATTGCATTATGTTCAGTTTGTGCCCCAACTTTCAGTCCATTTCCTTTTCTGCGTGTTTGAAACAAGATAAATCCATATTAGTCTTTCGTATTTCTGTTTGATTTCATACCGTTTTAGTTTGGGGATAGTGAAAGTATCAGTCCATATTGACTAAAGTAATAATACATGTTGGTTTTGTAGTCTTTTCCTCTCATGATAAGAGTTCATACATGACTGTAGCCTGCAGTGAGAGGAAGAGAATAAAAATCACAGTGAAAATCAACTCATCTCTATTTATTGAGTCTGTGGCCTGTTGTGCATTTTTCTAGGAATTTAGCTCAAGTGG